ATGGAGCGAGACAATATGAAAGGCTCCAATCGTACTCCATTCACCTCCACTAGCACACCGGGGGTTGCATACAGAAGTCAGATCCAGGTGCGATTCCCCGGCCTCTGTGTTATTTTTGGTCTTATTCTCTTTTTGGCCGATATTGGCCTCCATATTTTTGGATGCTGAAGTTTGGCCATTATTGGCCTCAATATTATGGGTCTCTGTTTCTTGGCCATTATTGGCCACTATACATTTTTAGTTTGGCCTTTATTGGCCACCATACTTTTTTTAGTTTGGCCATTATTGGCCTCCATATTTTGGGTTTTGTCCTGGCCATCAAAGGCCCCCTCATTAATGGGAGCTAATGCCGGGTATTCATTGGGATTGTCTTTATCTGGGGGGTCTTTTTTGATTGAAAAAAGATGTTTCTTGACCGACTTTCTATGGTCAGCTACTTTCAGTTTCTTTTTTATAATTAGATATGAGCAGACTCTCTTTTTTTATCCATTTTCAAAAGGAAGGGAAGGGGTGATGAACAGAAAAAAATGGTTATGTTTTGCCTATTGGGGGGATTGTCCTGCATGTGTGAATTACATCAGAGATGGTCACAGGGAGCCTAAAACAATCCATAAGAGTCCTTTCCCCAGCAGATTTCCATCCAGTCTGCATCTATCAAGCTAGCCATTTTAAATGTGAGGGGCTTCAGAGATCGGAGTAAGGCTGCCTACCTGCTTCGTGATCTCTTGTCCTTCAGTGTAGATGTGGCAACAATCCAGAAGACACACTTTGTTTTGTGAGTTCAATGCTGTCTAGTGACTTTGTTGTCTGTTCAGCATACTGCGACCAGCTGGCAATAGATGTTTCCTTGTTTCCTTCATATCCTGGATGCGAAAGCGAACCATGTCCGTGTCACTGGGAGGGTTGATGTGGCCAATATTGCCATAGTTTTGGATTGTTGCAGTTTATGTGCCCAGTGATCAGATGCAGTGTGTCTCCTTTTCCCGTTGGTTGAGTCTATTCCTGGTGGATTCATCACGCTTAGTCTTAATGGGGAACAGGAATGCCATTCTGAACCTCAAATTAGACATTGGGCAGGGAGTTAGTGGGAGGTCAAGCGATCATAGCATGGTTGATCTTTTTGGCGGTGGGTTTGAGCTCATAGATAGATAACAGGTTGATCGGCAAAACTGGGAGATTCCTCCAAGAGAGGCAGCTTTGAAGGTCATTCCTCATTTTTTACATAGCCTCAGAGGCTATTGTATCATGAACTAGTGGAAGAGCTCATGAATGATCTTCTATGTGGCTGGATTGGCTTGTCAGCTGCTTCTGGTCTTGAGCACCAGTGGCAGATTATCTCAGCAACCCCGAATTTTTGCTTACCTGGTGATTGATTCTGAACACAATATCTCTCAATGGCATAGCCTTCAGAAGGGGATGGGCGACTGTTATCAGTGTGACCTTGGTTTAGAGGAAATGGCTTCACACACCTTCTACTATTGTCCTCAGGTGCACCCATTCTGGGACAATGTCAATAAGTTGACAGCTTGTATCAATCCCAAACATCTTGTGTACATCAATTTTGCATATGTGTGTGATAATGTGTTGCCCCTATTCTTTGGGGTGAAACAGGTGGTGTTTCTCCCATTGCTAGCCGTGGCAAGAATTGTGGTATGGATGTCACAGATGGATGGCATCTTGCATTATGAATGCTATTCTCATCAGGATCTGGTCAGATTCTTTGGGCATCAGCTGAAGATAAAGATCAGAACTAATAGAAAGTGTTTATCAACAGATTTCAGTGAAAGGTAAGTAATGGTGGCAAGCCTCGTTCATGAATGGGCCTAGCCTCAATTTTCTTTTGTTGCAACAGCGCAGTTTCCTGTGAATCCTCCAATGGTTAAGCTAGACACTATTTGTTTACCTCATTAATGTCAGTGTTGTTACTGGCCTTCTCTTTTGTTAGGATTCATGTTGAGTTTCCCAACCTCCCTAGTTTATTTTTGTTGCCATTTTTTTTATCTCGGCAGGATCAGTCTTTGATTTTTCCACTCCGTCATTTAATTTTTCTCCAGTAGTGCATGTACTTCTTGATTCTGTCAAATGGCAGAATACAGTGCCCACTCTTATTATTTTGGGGGGTGAACCAGTCCTACTAACATCTATTTTGTTTTTAGTTTGTTTTTGTTATATTTTTAGTTTGTTTTTGGGGTTCATCTCCACCTCCTTCTTTACATGACTCATGAAATTTTTATATATTTTTGTCGGAAAAAATGAAAAACAAAAAAGTGACATTTTTTTTTCTTCATTGAAATTTTTACATTATGGGGTGTTTTGTCATTTACCTGTGAATGTGTGGTATTGTGGTACATATAAGATTGAATGGCGATGGATGAGTTCTTGTGAATGAACAAATTGTAATGAATCTGATTAGCTAGGTCTAAAATAGTTACTGTTGACCAGCAACAATTATTGTATTTTTTAAAGACAATAAACATACATTCCTATTGGATTGAAATCAACAAGTCATCATCTTTGTCTGTGCTTTTCTCCATTTTACATGTTCTGGAGGTAGTGCCCAGTTGTTTTAACAAACTAGAAAGTTCTTTTTCCTCTCTTGCCAAGCCATTGATTTCTCTGAGAAAATGAATGTTGGCAATTATTCTGCTCCCACTCCTGAGTGCATCATGACATATGCTCTAGAAACTCATTATGCTAGCAAATATTAAATATGATATGACCATTAATCATCATATAGTGAGTCCCATTAAAAAAATAAAATAAAATATGAAAATAAAATATATAACCAAAAAAAAAAGAATTTAAATTAAAATAAGGCATTTGTGGTTTCCTTTAAAACCCTTGTCTCTTTCTTTTTTTTCTCTCTCTCTCTGTATACTTCTCTCTAAATTAATAAGGCAACCCTCAAATAAAAAAGAGGAAGAAGAAGAAAAAAGTCTGAAACTGGAGGAAAAACAGCAGAAGGAATTTCTGACTAAAAAATACCAAAAAAAACGGGCTATATGCGTAACTTTCACAATATAAAAAAAAAAAAATTAAAAAGAAAAGAATGCTGGAAAATAATAATTTTAGCCAATCAAAAAAAAATTAACCCAAAGAAACTTTTGATGTTATCAGAAAATAAAGGTTCATGCCAGTAATCTGGAAGCCTTGTCAAAATGATATAAACTGACAGCCCTGAGGCAGAAGAGAAGAAGCAACCACCAGGGAAACCTGAACAAAAGAGAAAACTAGCCACACATGTCACGTAAATAATTTAAGCAGTCATATGCTTAAGACATTTTCTGCCATTCTTAGGGCTGAGAAAAACAGTAGATTGACACCACAATCTATTTCTAAGATGATGACTACTACCAAGTTCTGACTTCTAAACTCTCAACTACCAAGCCTAAATGGAGTTTCTCTTGACTGCTGCCATGATCAGGCTTATAAAACAAATTTTTACTACAACAAACATCAAAGGGATCATTCCAATCTAAATCAAATAAATATATATTATTTTTTTATACCCTTGAGTCAGTTGTTTTATTCCAAAGTTTCCGATAAATAAATACCAAGATTATCCTTGCAAATCTCCACACTCAATATGGTTGTAATGTAGAGAATATCTTCTAAACATCTGAAAAATTAAGGAAGTTAATCAACTCTGTGCTTGAATAGTTTCAGAAAAATTGTACATTAAGACATAATTTATATTTCAGCTCAAAATTTTATTAATTTTGTATGTGTGTATTTCACTGAACATTGAACAGATTTTGGCAACTTGTGATATGTAATTGTTAGTAAGAATACCAATTCATTTGTGTCTTGAGTTCAATGCTTACTGGGTACCTAAATACCATGGCCTTGTGCCAGACCAAGCTAAGCTTTGTATATAAATAATGAACAAATTTAACTTTGAAATAGGTCATTATTTTTTTTTTTTTTTAACTAAGAAAAAAGTCACCTATTTTTCTATACCGATTGTAGACCTGAGGAAGGTTGCAGAATTGTTTGACCAAAACACTGTAGCAACAACAAAGGCGATAAAAAGAATGTGTTCTTTAGTTTGAACTCTTGGAATGATCATGACAAAAACTATAAGAATATGGACTAATGGCAATGTTTCATCTTAAAATTTCCAAGTGGTCTACTTTTGTGAAATAATATAAAAATAGGCAAAAATATATAGTAAAAAAACAAACTGAACATAAAAATTGATAACATGTAAAAACAGAGCAACTTGCTTAGTTTATACAAATATACTAAAATCTGATTAATCAGAATACATCGGTAATAGAACAATTTGACAATCAGGCAACATAAACAGTTTCAATACATATATTTTCGGTTTTTAGATGAAGTGTGTTTAGTAGGGAACAAATGATTTTCCCATTTATCAGTTAAACCTTTTGCCATTAAACAAAAATTAAAACAAATTCATGAGTTTTAGACAAAAATCTTTAAAAAAAAATTTTCCTTATACGTTAAATAATTTACTAAACTATTGTATAATTTTAACTATACTCTTAAAAGGCTTCTAAAAATAGATACAAAACAAATACTTATCTGGCAAGTGAGTCAATCAGCAATAACCAACTAAAAAGTTTTTGTTTTTGTTTACACAATGGCCACCTTTAACAATCCAAAAAAGAAAATTGACAAAATACTTGATTTGTTTGATTTTTTTTTTTTTTTTGTTTTTGTTTTTTTTCAAGATTTCACTCAAATAAATGTTCTGATTACTCAGTGATGCAATTAACTGGAATCTTGTCTGTATTTTGGTGTGCACATGTAATCACCAAGAATAAAGTTATTATTGCACATTTTGATAGCAATTATTCAAGAATTGTCACTAGTGGTGAAGTTTCATAAAGTTCATTAAATTTGTTAAACAAATTATAGTAATTATTTAGTAGATAAATAGTGATCAGTAAAATCTATGCTTTTATTCTGGTCTTTTAAAAAAAAAAAAAATTATTTTCTTTTTAAAGAAAAACTGGAGTGTTTTCTCTTTTCAGGTGTTCAGATATCAGGTTGTATTGTCTCTTATGTTGTCCAGTCAAACAAAGGATCAAGTAACTTCTGCCGCTATGGCCAGACTTAGGGCACATGGTTGTACTATAGAGAACATCTTAAATACCTCTGACAAGAAACTAGGGGAGCTGATCTATCCAGTTGGATTTTGGCAAGTGAGTATCAAATATAATTCCAGGACTGGGATTCTTCCAGAAATTAAATACTAACCATTGTAATAAAAACAAACCAAAACAATCTGCCCTTCTCATCTACTCTTTTATTTTCTTCTTGTAAATCTATGATAACAATAAATTAATTGGTTTCTTTTATTTATTTTTTTTTCTCATATAGACTAAATTATGTATATAGACTTTTTATTTTTTGAGTAAGGCAAGGCAGGGTTTGAATTTGACTAACATATATTTCATTAAAATGTCTTTATTCATACCAGGGTATAAAAAGCGTATTTTTATATCTAACTTTATCATTCTTCAAACAAGACAAAGTGTTGTCTTATTCATTACTTGCTGATTCTTTCAGATTTGCATTCTTGTATTCATTGAAAATTGTCACTTTGTTACAATTTTATTTAATATAAATAATATGCAAATGTTGATACAGTTAAAAATTAATACTATATATTTTATACATTTGCTTCAAATTATCAATTCAATTCTGGTATAACAGGTGGTGAACTATAGTAGAAAGGTTTATTCTCCCATTTGTTATAGGCATTATTATATCCATGATATAATAGCATCAATATTTCACAGACAGAACAGAATGGCTGAGAGAAAAAGGAATGACAAAAGTTTTGTTCTCAGAGAGACTTTTATACCACTAATACATACACCAAACTATATATACATATATACATGTGCCCCATGCAAAGAAAAATATATCACATACATCTACATGGCAAAGCAGAGTGTAAGGAGAAACAAAAAGAAAAGGTCTTACATATAATATGAAGATACTGTGTCTGGAGAAGCCATATTTAGGACTTCAGATTCAAATGGACCAGATTCGTTTACTATGTCCTAGGTGAGGACATATTTCACCAACAGGAAACAATGAGTCTTGTGTTTACCTAAATTGAAGACTGTGAGCTGGAGTTTTTTCTATATCTGGGAAGATATATTCCCAAAGGGAAACGGCAACATGTAAGCTGCTGGGGGAGGCAGATTTAGCATCAGTTCAGCCCATTTGGTCTAGGATAAAAAAGCAACCACTTGGTTTGGCTGCTGTAAACAAACTGAATAACTGGCCACTGTTCTCAAAAAGCAGCCATCACGTGACCCATATTACATATCTCCACCAAAAGGAAATAATCACCTTCTCTACCCCCATATTAGTTTTGTCTTTATTGTTTGTCGCAATATGAGTAATAACTCTCCTTGATTGGTTCCAAACTATTCCTTTTAATAAAAGTCCTTTTTATTATAAATATAGATGTACAGTAGCAGCCATAATATAAGGAACGGAAACAACAAAGACATAAATATGTGTATTACTTAAAAAGTAATATATGATTAGCAATGAAATTTTTACCAAATAAAGATTAGGGTGTAATGCATAAATATTATACAAAGTTACAAAAATTTACATAATGGATTTTTTTAAATAAAGATTAAATGGAACAAAGGAAATAAGCTACTGGACAAAAGTTAAGGAACAATGTTAATAATTTACATAAACTTTTAATTTACATTGTTAAAAAACTCGATGGAGCTTTTCAACAATAAGTAAAAGTTCATTTATCATTAGGACTTTATTTTTAAGCAATATGGCAAATTCTACATGTAAAGCGCTCTCTTTTGAAGAAAAAAACTCATTATCCCTAACTATCAAGAAAAAAAGTCAATTTCAGAAATTTCTGATATTGTTCATAGGTCTAAAAGTGTCGTTCATTGTGTAATTAGGTATAAAACCGATAAAATGTTAGATGCAAAACCAAAAACCGGAAGACCTCCAAAAACGTCGCAAAGTGAAGATCGAAGAATTGTTAGAATATCTACAAAAAAACGTTTTTAAACTGCTACATCAATTGCCCATAAATTTAATGAAGAGACAGATAATAAGATCTCAAGGAAAACGGTTGCTCGCAAGTTAAAAAATGCAGGATTGCATGCCCGTATTTCAGCTTCGAAGCCTCTCATTTCAAAGCGAAACCAAAGGGCACGCCTGGAGTATGCGAGAGAACATGTTTGGACTGACGCACAATGGGATACAGTTCATTTCAGTGACAAGTCCAAGTTTACTATATTTAGTTCTGAGGGCAAAACTTACGTACGCCATAGAACAGGTGAAAGACTGTCTTCTCAATGTGTCAAGAAAACCGTTAAGTTTGGTGGCGGCAGTGTGATGGTGTGGGGAATGATTTCATCTGCAGGAGTTAGCCCTATCATCCGCGTACATGGCAATATCAATGCTGAGATTTACAAAAGGCTTCTTCAGCAGCATGTGGTACCAAGATTACACCATAATCTTTATGAATCTCCTATTTTCATGCAGGACAATGCACCTTGTCACAAGGCTCGGAAGGTTATGGCTTTATTTGAAGAAGAAGGAATCATCCTAATGAAGTGGCCAGCCCAGAGCCCCGACCTGAATCCAATAGAAAATGTTTGGAAGATAATTGGAGAAAGGGCTCAGAAAAGAAACCCGAAAAACCAGGATCACCTATGAGAGTTATTGAAAGATGAATGGGAGGGAATTATTGCTGATTTTTGCAATAAATTAATTAGATCATGTGGTCGACGATGCAGAGAAGTCATTGAAAATAAGGGGATGTTTACCAAATATTAAATTTTGTTGATATTTTGTTCACAATCAAGTATTAACAAGATCATTCCTTAACTTTTGTCCAGTAGCTTATTTCCTTTGTTCCATTTAATCTTTATTTAAAAAAAAACTATTATGTAAATTTTTGTAATTTTGTATAATATTTATGCATTACATGCTAATCTTTATTTGGTAAAAATTTCATTGCTAATCATGCATTACTTTTTAAGTAAACACATATTTATGTCTTTGTTGTTTCCATTCCTTATATTATGGCTGCTACTGTATGTTAACTGTGTCATCTCACACAATCTATATCTGTAATTTTCAAAATGTGTGTGTGTGTGTGTGTGTGTATATATGTATGTGTGTGTGATCGGATGTTGTTTATGCATTTTGACAGTTTTCAATTTTTCAGTGCCAGTTTTGAGTCCAAATTGGCTGAAAATAATTACAACCTTGAAGATGAAAAGTCAGAAAAACTGATTTTTTACACTTTGCTCAAAAATCAAAGGCAAAATTTAATGTCTGTAAAAAAAACACCATACAATCAATTTAGAGAGTTGGAATCTAACGCAAAAGATTATTAGAATTATAAAAAATTATAAATAAAAATTATCATATATTATTATTGTTATGATGGTCCATGGAAGAGGTTCCTTCCTTGCAAGATTGAGAATGCAAAAATGGCCCTTTTCAGCCCCCTTCCATTCAAATTTCTAAAAACAATTGATTTTTGGGTGGGCTGACTTTAAATTTAAACTGCTCCAATTGAATAACAAAAATTCCCAGTAATGGAATACCCGGTCGAAGACGGGTTATACTGCTAGTTTGTAATATATTCAAGTTCATGTCTTGACCTCAGAATCTCATGGCATGACATGTCGATTAGCATTAAATGTGGTCCAATGAAAGCAAAACATCAAAATCAGGTCATGTGGTTTTGACTGTGAATATGTATATATAAAAGAGTGGGAAGAAGAAGCCTCATCCCTTGTTCTACTTCTAATTCTCTCATTTAAAATTTGCAATAAAGCAAGAATTCAACAATCGAACTAAAAATATCCAAGCTGTATTTTTCCAATCCTGTTATTAAGACAACAATTACCAGCTTAAAAAGAATAGTCGTTGATCTTATTGGTGTTGTGTCGAAATCCTTATATTACAACTAATTATTACCCATGAAAAAAATCATAAATATATTTGAATATCTATTTTTTTTTAAAAAAAATAAATCGTGTTTACATGTACCAGATCATTGCAAAAATTTGTACCCAATTTTCGTATAAAATGACCGCAACTTGACACTGGTTTTTGTTTTGGTACCAATTAAGACCTATTTAGTTACAGGCTCCGCACATTTACAAGTGGTTGAACATTTAGGTTAAAATCATCCTGACAAAATCTGCCAAACCACTTTTTGATTGTCTGAAGAGCTGGAGCATGATCCAAATTAGCCTTCTGAGTGTTTTTTGTTGCAGTTACTCCTTTCTGAAATTCAACTTTTCATCCTCCATCTTTAAGACATTCATTTGTGAACAAAACCTCAACAATCAACAAAGTCTGACTTGCAAATTTTTAAGGTTTCAATCTAGAACACACCAGAAATTGGTATGATAGTGTTGTTGTCCATTTGGTGGGATCGCAGAGGAATAATTCACTTTGAGTTTCTTCCAACCAACAAGACAATAACTGCAAAGAAGTAATGCGAGAAACTCACCAGTGAAGCTATTCAAGAAAATTCAGGAAAGATGGTTGATTTTGGCAAATTGAAGCAGTGTCATTTTCCACCACAGCACAAGACTGCATGTTGCAAAACATGTTGTAGAAGCTTAATATAAGCTTACAATGGGAAACACTCCAGCACCCACCATATTCTCCTGACTTGACTCCCTTAGATTTTCATTTGTTCCAGCATGACCAACTAGTATTATATGTCACATAACAAGCTGAATTCTAACAGTCCAATGTAATGTAAATTAAAAAATGTGAGTAGCCATGTAGAAAATTGCTAATCTAAAAAGGAGATTCAATTCCGAAGAGAGAGTGTGGACCGCCAGGTGGAAATGGGCCTAAAAAAGACCCACCAGTTCAGCTTCGCAACAAGGTGCAGAGTACAAAGTTCCCGACAGCATCAGAGGAAAATACGAGAAAGAGCTTCAGCAGTGGATTGTGAGCGGCTGGTTGATTCCGTACCCCAGGAAAGACTGGGACCCCCAAAGGGTCTGATTCCCTTGATGGCAGTCGTGCAGGAGCAGAAACAGAAGGTCGTCTTTTTTTTCGATTACCGCGAATTGAGCGACTTTGTGGATGCTTTTACTGCCGATGCAGAAGTGTGCTCACATAAGTTGAGAACGTGGTGGTGGCAGGGGAGTCAATGTGTCGCTTC